AAGATTGAAATGCCTACACCACATGATCAACAACAAGTGAACATGCAAACATATACACGGCCAAAGTATCATGGCCGTAGCAAGGAAAGGGCTAGAAAGAGAAGAGCATACCATGTCCCCAACGCCGAGACCACTCACGGGCCGTGCTTCAACGCTCTCAAATGCGGCACAATACTTGTTGCACTCTTGGCTAATCTCCATCCAACATTGACAAATCAACTTGTCCTCATCTTGTGTATATGAACCGGTGCAAATGCTCTTCGCTTCTTTTGTGCTTCTGCTCTTTGGGTGAGCTCGTCTATGAACAATGGAGCGCCACTAATATCAACATCATTGGCTTCATCTTCATCTTCACCTTCGACATAGATGTCGTCGTCTTCATGCCACGAATCACCATGGTCGTAGTCAGCATGGTCGTCGGCCTCCTCATCGGGCACGTACTGGGCGCGGCCATCCTGACTGTGGGTCTCCTCGGGGTCGTAGGCACGGCCATGCCCACCCTGGAAGATCACGTCCTCCATGTACTGGTTGTAGAAGGGGTCGTCCACCGTCGGCGTTGAGGTTGGCATTCCGTCAAACAACACGCGGGGGGCCGGCATGGTGCCCGTGAACGGTGCACGTGCCTGCTTTCTTTGCATCTCGACGAACGGCCGCCCGCCGCTGCTGGACCCAGGCGTGATGTTGAGGTTGATGACGGCCGCGGGGCGTGGTGTGGACGGCGCGAACAAGCCCACGTCCGGCGACGCCGAGAAATGGGTCTGGCCGTCGTGCCTGGGCGGAGGAAAGCCGGGCGACATGGGCGCGGTGCGCGACGTCGGCGACTGGCAGTGCTTAGGCCGGGCGACCGACAAGCCTGTGCTCGCCAGGCCGACGGCCGCTGCATGGAACCCCGCCGGACGGCCCATGCCAAGCATGAGGATGGCGTGCGCTTTATTGACGAGGTCCTCCTTCTCGTCGGCAGCGGCCTTGCGCCACGCGGCCTCCAGCTCCTCGCGCTGGGCGGCGAACTTGGCCGCGGCGGCATTGATCTTGACGGCCGCTCTCCGTTCCCTCCTCTTCGCCGATTCCGCGTCCAACTTGGCGATCTCCTCTGGCGTGCACTCCGACCGCGGCTTCCTTGGCGCCTTCTTCTTCACCTTTGCGGTCGGGTCAACGGCCAGGCCACCGGAACTCGGCGGGGCGTCGGCCATGGACGGGGGAGAGAGGGGGCGGCGGGAGGGACGTGGGAGGGTTTGGGGGAAATGGCTCCAAATGGGCGTGGGGGGGTTGGTTTCTCCCACCGACAGGCGGGCCAGGGGAGGACAAGCGCGCGCGTCCCGCCCGTCCGCGCGTTGTCCGTTTCACTCCAATACCGGCGCAACTTTGGGCCGGGGATGGGTCGAAAGCGGACACAAAGCGGACAAAAGTTCGTTTGCGCCCGCGCGCTGGGCCGTCTTGTTTGTCCCTTTTACCCCAAATGGACGGGGGCGGACAGGATAGGGTCGCGCGGTGGAGTTGGCCTAAGAAGATAATTTTACAGCGGCTCACAGCCGTGGTTGAGGCTGACTGGCTCATTCGATGGACCAGGGTGAGGAATAGCTTATTTTTCACCCTGCGTGTCTAATAGAATATATATATATATATATATATATATATATATATATATATTACATTTTCTTTATTTTTATTTTTTGTTCTTTCTTTCTTTTTCTGTTTTCTTTTTAATATTTCCAAACGCACGAACTTATTTTAATACACGTTGAATATTTTCCGTGTACACATTGAATGGTTAAAATTTATTCGAAAATATTCAACGTGTATCTAAAAACCACATTGAACATTTTTTATATAGGTTCAAAAATTTTGAGATACATGTTAAACATTATCCAAATACACGTTGAACATTTTTTTTTTTGAATACTTGTTGAACGCTTTTCAAATGTGTGTTTAAATTTTTTATAGACACATTGAACTTTTTTGTAAATTTCATTAACATTTTATGTAAAACTTGCAAACATTTCTTAAGTCGTTATGAACATATTTGTTAATGGCGCAAAAAATTCTTAAATGTTATGATTTAGAAAACAGTGTGAACAAAATTTCGCAGTGTGCGAATCTTTTTAAAACATAACGAACATATTTGTTAAACTTAGGACTATTTTTAAATGCGATGACCATTTTCTTGAATGACGCAAACAACTTTTATAAATTACATGATTTTCATGTATATTCTTGACCACTTTCAAAGGATATATTGAACATACTTTTAAGAATTTCATTTTTTTTCAATGGTACGAACATTTTTAAAAATATGGATTAGAAATTTTTTCCCTTCATGAATTGCGCACAACTTTTCACAAAATTAAGTAAAATGCTTTTGAAATTTCTATATACCTATAATATTTTAGAAATATAAAACAGTAAAAAAACAGAGTAGAAAAGGAAACAAAACTAACTAACAAGTTACTCCCTTCAATCCAAAACAAGCTTCGCAGATTCAAAGTAGGTTTAGTTTAACCTTAGTTTAAAACTAAGACACTTATTATGGATTGAGAGATGTAGTATAATAGGCAGACATATTGTATCCTCTCCTTAAGATGAGAGGAGAGGGCACTGACTAAAAGCGAGACAAGCAACCTGTAGCATCGCAGAGCTATATCATGCTTATAGCAATAATAGCATAGCCTGCGCGGCGGCACGCCACGCCTCGTCGGTACATTGTGTCCATATGTATATTACTTCTATTGTTTATAGTGAAACTCAATTTAAACAAGAGAGCTAGATAGTTGAGATTGCAATCATAAAAGGAGAAGTTTGAAAGCAATACATTTTTTATCACGGTTAATGTTGAATTTTGTATATGTGTTATCTTTGTCTCGTATTGTAAATTCAACCATAAAATAAAAAAATTACGTGTACAAGTTTGCAATGAGAAAAAGGTAAGGCATGCATAAAAGCAAACTGAGGAGGATACATTAACTGTTAGCGTGAGTGATACATCTTACAAAGTGGAGAACACATGCTGACACTTTCTTAGTAAGAGTATAAGACTAAACACATTACATTTAGTTGTGTCTTATATGATTCCAGCGAGGCCTCCTGCAGGATTTGTGCCTATGATGAAGTGATATAGAGCTTTTCAAATTGTTGCATACAATTGGTGGGTTAGAACCTGTGTATGAGATTATTGGATCTTTCACTTTGTGAGATGCCGGTGAAATTTGTTGCATATCTTTGTTAGGATCTTAGTCTATATTGCGAATTCATTTTATTAGGCATTTATCTTCCGATAGGCTATGTTGAATTGCAATGGTTGGTGTGTGTGCATTGGAAACAAGTTTCTCTTTATGACTTCAAATGCATAATAGTTATGGTCATTGATAATGATGCTATAGTGAGAAAACCTAGAGCCTCTCATGATCGAAGGTGGCGGGAAGCATGCCTGGCAGAAAAGAGTTTTTAGTGTAGGGCCATTGTCCTATCACGTGCCTAGAGACCGAAGCAACCCTGCAGGCTCCGCTTGATATTGACCGGCGGGATAGAGGACACGGTGGAGAACATGTCGTACTCCCATAAGAGATGGAAGAGGCTAGGAGATGGGGGAATTGCTTCTTATTTCCAATTTAGATAATTGGATTTGCACCGAAGGAAACCAGAAATGTCATATACCATGAAAAATCTAGGATAGAGAAGCTATATCCTATTCATCGGTACTAATCATGGATACTTCATTTTTTTATAAGATCGGGCGGCTCGTTGGAGCGCCCATTGGGGCCATGTCCCTTTTGCGGATACATTGACTGCGCGCCTAGTAGATTGCGTAGAGAACACAATTAATATCCACCTCCCAACCAGCAGGACCACGTCTACCATCAGCAGGCATCCAACCAGAATGCGGCCGACCTGAAGGATGCCTTGCAGAGCCACCAAGCCTTGCTATCAAGAAAACAAATATGACAACTAGTGCCAGTGAACCACAAAAAACTGTAATGCAACACATCCACAGCCGCTCCCCATAATGAGCACAAAATATAAATTTGTCTTGCTAAATCGCAGTCGATTGAAATCTCAGTTAATGGTATATTCCTTGAATTTTGCATGAACATTCATACATTTTTTTATTTTTTTCCTTCTTGTATACGTCACTTGACAGAGAATTGGTTAAGCCTTAATCGACTAAGACCTAGCCACATCCGGTAAATATCACAGACCACCAGAAACTACACCAAAACGGCAACTGACCTAAAGCAAAAAAAGGTAAATCCAATACGACTCTGCTAATAACATATGCAACGCTAACCATAATCCACCACGCGTCAACACCATTATTTACCCACACATGCGAGCGTTAAAAAAGGAAACAAACCAGGAACGGCATAAAAGTAGAGAAAATATCTCTTAGTACAGATGAGACATAGATAACATATACTTTCTCCGTCTCAAAATAAGTATTTTGAGCTTAGTACAAATTTGTTATAGAGCCAGTACAAAGTTCCCCGTAAAAAAATAGTACAAAGTTGTGACATTTATTCTGGGGCGAGGGAGTATTAGAAAAAGAAAGAAAAGAAAAGAAGCCCCACACACACGAAACGAACCGAAGGAGAAATATCTCAATAGAAAGAAAAATAATAGTAATACAAAAATGCCAACGGTAATCGCGTGCACGTAGTCACATCGGCCGCCGTGAAGGTAATCATATCCTTCCAAAATTCGCGCTGGTGATTGCATGCACTAATCAGCGGCCAAACCGGAAACAAACAGGTACGAGACCACCACACAAGAAAAGGCAGTTTGATCTAACGAAGCAAATCCGAGGATAAATCACCATGTCCACCCAATAACAAGCCCATAAAATTCGCTGGTAAATCCAAGGAAATCGCAAATAAAAAAAAGAAAAAGAAGCCCTTGCAGGGATAGAGAAGTACTAATACATGAAGAAAGAAATTAAACACACCAAAAAAAGAAGAAGGAAATTAATTGGGACCGTGCTTGTCTTTTTTTTTGCGGGGTGAAAACATGCATTACTCAATCAAGAAGTCATTACCATCGAGAGAAACAATCTCCATCACCTCATCCGGACCAGCCCCTAGCCAGGTCATGGTCCTACCTTGCAATCTAGCAAACGAAGTTAATGCATCACTAGCCTTATTTTGGGTCCTAGCAATATGAATAATATAAGATTGTGGAAGAGACAATAGGTACTTAATTTCCTTCACAATTGAGGCGTAAATAGAGCGGTCGACGTCTTCACATGAAATCAAGGTCACCGCCTCGAGAGAATCCATTTCCACCACTATAGGAAGATCACTGCGTTGGAGTGCCAATGAGACCCCTTCCATGCATGCACAGAGCTCCGTCTCTAAGGCATCTCTACAGGAATACAGGACCCTGCATGCCGAGACATTAACAGCCCCTCGATGGTCACGTAAGATCATTCCAGCCCCGGCATTACCAGCCATACTGAAGGACCCATCAGTATTTAGCTTAATCCACCCCAGCTCCGGGGGCCTCCATCTTTTCTCCTCTGGTGCACTAATGACTCCTTCAACTGGCGCCAGTTTTTCATATACAATTGGAGATTTGCCTTTTGCTGGATCTGCTCGTGGGTAAAGCTTAATTCCAATCAGGGAATCAACGTAGCTTCGCAAGAAACGAATAGAGGCCTCCATAGATGGTGTAGGCTTGCAGTGCACCACTTCATTCCGGACAAACCAACTCCTCCAAAATATCATCAAAACCATCATTGGCCCCACATCATTCAACGGCTCTAGAACATGAAGCAGCCACTCCTTCCCATTATGCTCTATAGATTCTATCTCCGGGATCATCCATACCTTAGCCATAGCGAGATACAAGTCTCGACCAAACTGGCAGTTGACGAAGGGGTGAAAGTTATCTTCTTCCTCCCTCCCACAAACTGGACACCTGCTCCCAACCTCGAGCCCGATTTTGTGTTTCCTCTGCCAAGTAGGGAGTGAGTTAGTAGCTAATCTCCAAGCAAAGTTGCGCACCGATGGCGGCGCCCAGCTTTTTGAAATAAAGTCCCAACACTTCCGCTGACCGGACGGTGATGAACTGGAGGATACATCTGTCGCCCGGTGTGCTTCCTCAAAGGCCAGAGTGTAGGCCGATTTAACAGTGAACACACCATGTTTACCTGGTCCCCATGCTATCACATCTTCCTCCAGCCTCGGAGATGCTCTGATCTTCGCGATCTCTTGTACATCCGCATTGACAAAATATTCATTCAACAGCTCATAGTTTCAGGAACCGTTCTGATTTAACAGGTCCGAAACAAATCGAATATGACACCTTCCCTATAGGGAGATCGGTTTATAAGAATAAGGCCTCGGTATCCAGTTATCCCTCCAAACACGTATGCTCCTGCCATTACCCATTCTCCATACTAGCCCCTTCTTCAATAGATCCAGGCCATAACTGATAGCTTGCCATGACGACGACGTGTTACCCGTGAAAACTGTATCATCTAACCTGCCCAGTGGGTAATACCTCGCTTTCAAGAGTTGGGCGCACAAACTATCTGGTCTAGTTAGAAGTCTCCACGCCTGTCGCGCTAACAAAGCTTGATTGAACATCCGAAAGTCACGGAACCCCACTCCTCCCTTCGGCTTGGGTTGCATCAAATGATCCCATCCTCGCCAATGCACTCTTCTTTTGCCTTCCGCCGAACCCCAGTAGAAATTTCTTACCATACGAGTAAGATCATCACACACTGAGAAAGGCACTTTGAAGACTCCCATTATGCATGTAGGCAGCGCCTGGGCTACGGACTTGATCAACACCTCACGTCCCGGTTGGGCCAACTGACCATCCCCCCACTGCAACAGTCGTTTTGTCAGCCTAATTTGCAGGTTCTGGAAACGCCCTTTCGACATCCCCCCCTTCGGTGTTGGCAATCCCAAGTACTTATCCTCAAAAGAATGGCTAGTAACCTGTAACGCTGCTCTTACCTCATCCTGGACTACTCCAGGGCATGCATCCCCAAAGAGTAATGAGCACTTATCATAATTAAGGCTCTGTCCTGTAGCAGCACCGTATGCATCCAAAATTGCTTTAACCTTCTCTGCCTGGATTTTGGAAGCCTCAAAAAACAAAAGTGTATCATCCGTGAATAGTAAGTGTGATATACCCGAGGCACCTCTACACACTCTCACTGGAGTAATATCTCCCGAATCCACATTCTTCCTTAGTAGAGCCGAATAGTAAGTGTGATATACCCGGGGCACCTCTACATACTCTCACTGGGACCGTGCTTGTCGGTGTATCCGTGTATGCATGTCGTGTCGAACTTTGGATTCTGTTCAAACAGGCACATTGGGTCGTCAATCTAAAGCGCATGAATCTAGAATTCAACCATACCGATTATGCATCCATTATTTATAGCAAGCATCCACTAATTCCATCCTCATCACTGAGTATAATCCAAATAAGACGACACTGGATCAAATTATGTAGAACACGAGTTAGGAAAAAGATATGTAGAACATTTCAAAACTGAAAATGAATAGATCAGAGATGCGTTGGTGACCAGGCACCACGTACAGCCATCCCAACTGATCAGAGTCGTCACCGATGGTGGCCAATAGGTGGACGTGTCCAGATCAAAGTCGTTGTCGAATTGATCAGTGGTTTCATGGTCCATGCATCCTGCCCGGAGCAGTGCCACTGGGAGGGGCGTATGCAAGGCAGTGAGTGCAAGGTCACGCACCGGACCGGACCTCCAGCGATGGCACAGTAGCAATTGCGCCGTTGTGTGCCTGTGGATTTGAAAACTCCAGGCTTCTTGATCTCGGTTAATACGTACTATTACGTTAACAGCCAAACCGCAAAAAAAAAAAAAAACAGGCAGCTCTCTATTCTCTCGTAGTCTTTGCTTGTCTTCTGCTCTTAAAATCTTCCTCGATCCTTTGCACGAACCCTGCACGCAACAACACAGAGCGCCCGTTGCAGCTGCCCTTTGCCTTCAATTCCGGCGCTGCGTCATGCATGCCAGATTTCAAATAACAAGATAAGCTAATTGGTCATAATTTGCAATGGCACCTATCATTTAAACACAATCTGCATAGGAAAATTGAAAAAATTGTTAGAGCAAAACAAACCATCACAGGGAAGTGCAGTTTGAATCTCATCTGCAAATGGAAATAGGCCAGGCAAATAAAATTGAATTAACTGAGAAAAGTAAGTACTACTACGACATATAGTAATGAAAGGAGAAAGAGGAGGCGTCAGCTAAGTCTATAGCTATAAACATAAACATTAGGTCTCCATGAACAAAGACGCAGGCACAACAAAATAAAAGGAGACAGGAATGGAAGGAAGGAGATGAACTTTTACTACACGTACCTGTGGAAGGAAGACAGTAGCTGTAGCAGCATGGAAACATGTGAGAGGAACACCGACGCGTCGGCAGCGCTTGTTCCTTCAGGCCGTTGACGGAGGCAGAGCGCCGGTGTCCGTGGGCAGCAAAGCACGCACATGGTGAAGGTGCGGCGACGCGTGGAGTGCTGGCGGCTCACGCGGGGGCTCAGGCAGCGGCAGCACGCCCCAGCAGTCAATGTTGTAAAGCGTGGACAAGATATTGGTCGACCTGCAGGCGACGCCGTCGTGCAGTATGCCAGCAGCTCCCCGGCGACAACTTTTATCGGTGGAGCAGCTAGACGGTGTAGTCGGCTCCTCCGCGGTGATGGCTGCTACTCCTTCGCCATAGATGCCCGAC